TTCAAATCCCAATTTCTATTTAGTGGTAAGAAACTGTGCTACATTCCCAAAGTCACACAGTTCAAATCCACCAGTTGCTCTGTGAAAGGAAGATAGACAATCTCCTCCCATGCAATTTACTGCCTCTGAAAATTTGCAGGAGAGTCAGCTATGAGTCAGTTCTGACTCAATGGTACAGGACAAGAAGTTAAAAATTTTAAAACAATATTTAATGGTAAATTTTTACAAAATTTTTAGTAGACAATGTGAAATAATAATTTTTACGCATCTTGCAAAAATTAAACTATCACTCTAGAGACTAAACTCTAGTGACATAGTTTACAGGGAGTTGTACTGATAAACCAAAGGCCACACCTCTCCTCTGATGGTTCAAATCCACCAATAAATGAGAGAAAGATGAGCAGTTTCCTCCTGTGCAGTTTACAGCTTCAGAAATCCCAAATAGGGGGTCAACTATTAGAGCTCTAGAGATTTTCTCCCCTTATTTGTGAGTTTAAAAAAGCTATTTACTTATGAACATGGAATGCAGATTTTAGTGGAAAATTAATTTTCCAGAAATAATTAAACATAAAAATTAGTAATGTGAATTTATAGATTAGGCTAAATAAGCTGTCTTGTCCTATTTCTGAAAATTACAGAAGTTTTTCATGGGCATTTAAGCCTTTACACTTTAGTTTGGGGACAGGTACAAGTAGTTTGGAGTATCATTTTGCTTTACCTTCAGCTACCCAATTTAGACCAGACTTTTGTTGTTGTTGTTGTTGTTTTTTTATATTTACTTGCCTATTTCTTTTTAGACCAGAAATTTAATGACAATTAGTCTGTACTTCTCAATTATCAAAAAATGTTAATTTTGTTGTGTTTCTAAGTTCGTTAGCTGATTCCAGTAGGAGTCTTTTATTATTGTGGAAAACATTGAACATCTAAGTTACTATTCAGTCATCATGCTTTCCTACTGCTTTTTCTGTAATTATACACCACTTTACATCTCAATCATTAATAATATTGATGTTGTCATTGGTGTGTACTGTAGTCAGAACCAACCCATAGCTGACCCTCCAGTGGGTTTTCAGAGGCAGGTAATCTCACGAGAGGAGACTGCCCATCCTCCTCCCGTGGAACAGCTTGTGGCCTCAAACTGTGTGCCTTTGGGATAGCGGCTCAGCTTCTTGCCACTAGGCCACCAGAGCTCACCATAATAATGATGAGACATATTATTATTAACGATTACCCTTTAATCATTCTTTTCCCAGTCCTTTTATATCCTATTCTTACTTCCAGGTTTTGTGCTTGTTGTCCTTTTCCTGGGATACCTTTCCTGTAGATATGATTGGTTCTTTCTCTGCATTCATATTTCAGTTCAAATATCCACTTGCCTAGAGGCCTTCTTTTCTACTCCAAAGCACTTAAGCTTCATTATCTCATGATTCATGTTATATTATTTTACTTTTTTCTTTGTTTTCATAACTATTGACTATATTTCTTCACTGGAATGTCAGAACAGTTAGAATATGAGCTATTATTTAGAAATTGTTGTTATATATCATTAAGTCACTTGCAACTCATAATAATCCAATGTACAAGAAACAACTCTGAAGCCTACTTTACCCTGAGCCAGTCTCACTGCCTCTATCACACCTACCCCAGATAACCAAATTACTGTGTCAATCCATCTAATCTGGGATCTTACTCTCCTGTGCTATCCCTTCATCCTTTCAAGCATGATGTCCTTTTTCAAGCTTTGGTCCCTCCTGCCAACATGCTCAAAGTATGTGAGATGGAGTCTCAAAGTCTTTGACTCCAAGGAACCATTTTGTTTCACTCTTTCCAGAA